CAGAACTTAGGGACTAGCATTTGGCATAATGGTTATGTGGCTGGACTCCCATGCAGTGATCACATTTCGAGTCCCAAACCTGGCAGCTTAAAATTCACACCAGGCGTGTGTGCATGCATGTCCAAAATCCTGAGAGAAGAATGGAGAAGGGATTGCGGTGTGGCCATCCCCCCAGGGGGTAATTTCTCATTTTCTGACTCTTTCTGTCTCCCTGGCGACTGCACACTCCCTATAGCAAAAATCTCTCCAAAAAAAGAAATACAGAATGTAAGAGTTAAAAATACTTTGATACTAGGGTATTTGATACTAGGGCTTTGAATTTAAACTTTTTTCCACAGATTGAGTTTTGGGTAATTATGGAACATTCAAGTGGAACTACCTGACCGAATGCTTAATAGTAAAAGATTTCAAAGGTGGACTGTATCTTAGAAATTATCACAGTCTAGTTGCTTTATTCCTTGAGTATTAAAACAGATACAGAAGGATAAATATTATATCCAATATAATATATGTAATTCATAGATAACCAGAACTAGACCTCAAACTTTCTGACTTCCAAGCCAGTGCTCTTTTTACCCCATTATACTGCCTTCTCTATTTGGTTAGAGCAGAAGAAATATTAAGATTATAATATTTGAAAAGACATACTATGACAAATGCATTGAAATCATGAGATCTGTAAGGTAGGAAGTTTAAAGTAGAGATGGCAAAAAATTTTCAACTTCATGACAGCGTGAAGTGTTAAAAACAATTCTGTGGGTTGGCAGGTGGCGTGGTGATTAAGGATGCTAGACTCCCACATGGTTGACTGTGGTTCTAGTCCTGGACCTGGTGGCTTGCTTTCTCTCTTTCCTTCTCTCTTTCACTTTGCCCCTCTCTACAAATTAAAATACAAATAAATAAATAAAGTTAAATAAAATAATTTAAAAACAATACTGAACCTTTGTTCACACTTAACTGAACATGAATGATATGACTAATTAGTGACCTTGACCAGTAGCAAGTTGGAGAAATGTGCAGCATACATACCGCCTCTTATCACTAGTCAGAAAATACTTGAAAAGATAATGGACAGCAAAATGTCAGAGTGGTCAGTTTTGCTTAAGTTAATAACATTTCCTTTCCATTATTTTGTTTCTATCTTAAATGGGAGGTATCAGATACACTGCTGCCTACTTATTGTTACCCTGAAAACATGAAGGATTTGAATATATGAGGAGTCATGATGAAACAGGTTGAAAAAAGATTAAGAATCAATAAGAGAGAGAGCTCTCTTAATTGAACTGTCTTGCATAACCTGGCTTATTTGTTCTGCATTTTCTTAATTTTATTTTATTCAGAGACTACTTAGTGAAAATTCCTCTGAAATTAATTATATATGCCAAAGTCAATATTGTGGACTGAACACACACATTTATCCTCTCTTCTTCCTAACAACCCAGTAAATTGTTACAAACAAAGCATATACACACATACACATACAAACATACATGTGTTTGACATATATATGAAGATCGAAAGAGAGAAAATCAATAAAGACCAAAGAAGACTGATCATTAGGACACAAGAAATGTCATCAATATTTTTTAAGATATTAAGCAGTTGCAAGAGTGGTATAGTGAGTTGAATGGTGAAACTGAAAATATGTATATGTCCTAATCCCTGGAAACTGTCACTTTATTTGGAAAAAGGATCTTTGTAGACATAATTAAGGGTATTGAGATGAGGAGATCATTCTTGGTGTTCTGAGTGGGCCCTAAATCCAGAACTAATTATCTTTATAATATTGTGGTATAGGGAGGAGATTATACAGATAGAATAAAGAAGGCACTATGAAGACAGGGCACAGACTGGAGTGATGAAGCCATAAACTAATAAATGTCAAACAGCCACCAGAAACTGAATGAGGCAAGGAACACATTCTTTCCTACAGTACCTGAATGGAGGTTGGCCCTGCTACAACTTGATTTTTGACTTCTGGGTTCCAGACCAGTGAGAGCATACATTTCTGTGTTTTAAGCTATCAAGTTTGTGGTAATTTATTATAGTAGCCACGGGAAACTAGTGCAAATAGTTTCCAAAAAGTTAAGAAAATCAGTCTTACAGAAATACAGAGAAGCTCAGAAAACACCAATGGGAAACAAATAGTAGAATGTGGAGTTTAAAATGGGGCAATTATTTGAAAATTAGCTGAAGTTATAATTCCCCTCACCACCACAACCATTCATTCCCTTACCAACAAGTAGGATGCTCAACAGCCAGGTATTTACTACTCTAGAATAAGTCTGTAGACACTTTATTCTCTAGACAGAAATAGAACAATGTAGATATATCCTATCCAAATACCCTCAAAGTTGATCAATTAATAAGCCCAGCCCACCACCAATCAACTTTTCACTGCTGTATTTTTAACAAATAACAAGTAACTAAGAAACCTGAAAAATATTTTAAAGGATCCAGAATGAAAGAGAGGCTAAGAAAGATAAGCAGAAGAAAAAATAAGTCCACAAAGAAAATTGAAATAATTCAAAGAACAGGAGAAAATAACAACAACAAAGAAGAATACAGTATTGTTATTGAATATGCTCAGAGATACTTGTGTCGGTTAATCTTTTTTTTTTTTTTTTAAGAGGTTTCTGCTACAGGGCGCATGTGCTTGCCAGAAAGACAGAGAGAGACAGAAAGTGAGAAATCATCCCCCCCAGGGGGGATGGCCATACCACAATCCCTTCTCCTCCATTCTCCTCTCAGGATCTTGGGCATGCATGCACATGTGCCTGGCATGAGTTTAAGCCACCGGGTCTGGGACTCGCACCATGGTTGGCTACATGGAAGTCCAGTGACATTGTCATTACGCTAATTGCTGGTTCTATAGTTAATCTATCTATCTATCTATCTATCTATCTATCTATCTATCTAGATATATATATTTTTTTTGTTGTTGTTGTTGTTGTTCTAAGCTCATCCCCTCTCTCCACTGTTGTGATACTAGAACTGTACTCAGCATTTGGTCTTTGCTGGCTAACAATGTAAGCTCTGCTAATCAAAGATACTAGGAGACACTGCAAGGTTAGAATGGGAGGAAGCTTTTTTTTTTTTTTGAGAGATTTTCACTGTAGGGCGCGTGCGCTCGCCAGACAGACAGAGAGAGACATAGAGACAGAAAGCGAGAAATCACCCCCCCAGGGGGGATGGTCACGCCGCATTCCCTTCTCCTCCATTCTCCTCTCGGGATCTTGGGCACGCACGCACACGCGCCCGGCGTGAGTTTTAAGCCACCGGATCCGGGACACAAACCGTGGTCGACTACGTGGGAGTCCAGTGACATAGCCATTACGCTAACTTCTGGTTCCCGAACATTTTTATTTTAAATCAGTTTATTAAAGAATGTTTGGTATACAGAAAGCTGTACATACTTAAGGTATACACATTTCCTGAGTTTGGGAATAAGTATATTGGTTAAGTATAAGTATAATTGGTTAGAGCAGAAGGAATATTAAGATGATAACATGAAGCCATCACCACCATCAAGGTCAGACAGCGATACGTTATCACCTCCCAAAGTTTCTTCTTCTTCCCCCTTTTTTGGTAGTAAGAACACTTAACATAAGATCTACAAATTGGGGCCAGCAGGTGGTGTGGTGGTTAAGGTGCTGGACTCTCACATCGCTGACTATGGTTCAAGCCCTGGACCTGGTGGCTTGCCTTCTCACCCTCCCTCTCTGTCTCTCTCTCTCTCTCTGTGTCTCTCTCTGGTTAAACTGAAGCAAAAGCAGAAGAGGAAAAAATAAAAATAAAATACTTTTTAAAAATCTACACTCTTAGCAAATTTTAAATACATAATATAGCATTGTTATAAACAGACACTATGCTACATAGTTGATCTCTAGGACTTTATCTTGTATAAATGAAGTTTCTTTATGTTCTTCAGTCATACTTACCCAATCTTCCCCTCTCCCAGACCCCTGGCAACCACCATTCTACTCTCTCCTATGAGTATTACCACTTCAGATTCTACATATAAGTGAGATCAAACATATTTATATTTTGTATCTGTCTTATTTCATTTAGCATTTTGGTCCATCCATGCAGTAACAATGGCACAATTTCTTTTTTAGGGCCTAGTAATATTTCATTAGATGTATATAACACATTTTTATTTATCCATTCATCTGTCATTCAGGCTAATAACACATGCCTGAATAAACAATGGATCAAAAAAGAAAACAAAAAAGAAATTTAAAAAAATCTTGTGACAAATGAGAATGGAATTACAACATAGAAAAACCTAGGGGATGTGATAAAAGCAATTATAAGGATAAATGCCTACATTAAAAAGGATATAGAAAGGGGCTGGCAGGTGATGTGGTGGTTAAGGACACTGGACTCCCATATGGCCAACCATGGTTCAAGTCCCAGACCTGATGGCTTGCTTTATCACTTTTCCCTGCCTCTGCTGGCTTGCTGTGTCCCTCTCTGGTCAAATAAAAATAAGCAAATAAATAAATAAAGTTAAGATAAAATAATTCTTTTTAAAAATAGAATATAGAAAAAGGAAAGATCTCAAATAAGCAATCTAACTTTACTCCTCCAACAACTAGAATAAAACACACTAAGCTCCAAATCAGCCCCCCAAAAAAGAATGAACTACTAGAGTAGAAATAAATGAAATAGACACTACAAGAACAAGAAAAAAGATTACCAAAACTGAATTTATCTTTTAAAAATATAAACAAAATTGACAAACCATAATCTAGACTAATCGAAGAAAAAGATTTAAAGAAATAAAACTATGAAAGACCAGGTGGTGGTGCAGTGGTAAAATGAGATGCTTGGCAAGGCTGACCCGCATGGGAAGGCTTTGGGTTTGGGCCCCAAGACCTCCCTTAGTAGGCGAAACATGTGCATGCCCATGATGCTGGACGGTTAAGTCTAGGGATGAATTTGTCAGAGATAGCCATATGTGAGTATCCTAAGATAATGGCAGGAAAGACATCTACCTCATTGATCATAGCTTGTCAGGGGATATTTCAGACTTCCTCTGAGGACTTCTTCCTCTGTCCCAGCTATGGCTACCACTCTTCTGCAGGGAAGGGGAAACTAATCTCATTTTTCTTCTTCCCTTTCTTTCCTTTCCTTTTCTTTCCTTTCCTTTTCTTTTCTTTTCTTTTCTTTTCTTTTCTTTTCTTTTCTTTTTTCTTTTCTTTTCTTTTCTTTTCTTTTCTTTTCTTTTTCTTTTTCTTTTCTTTTCTTTTCTTTTCTTTTCTTTTCTTTCTTCTTTCTTTCTTCCTTACTTTGTTTTTCAAGAGAGATTTTTACTTTAAGACAAGTGCGCTAACCTAAGAGATAAACAGAAAGCAAGAAATCAATCCCCAGGAAGATGGCCACACTGCACTTCTTTCTCCTCCATTCTCCTCTCATGATTTGGGGCACTCAAGCACAGGCACCAGGGTAAGTTTTAAGCCACCAGGCCCGGGACTCAAGCAGTGGTCAACTATATGGGAATCCCACAATGTAACCATCGCACCATCTGCTGGTCCCTTATTTTTATTTCTTTATTACCTAACTTTCTTCAAAGAACTTAGAGAAGGTTGTTATCTTCTCTTCTGCCATTCCGCATGTACATACAGGAATTCACCTGGATGCTTGATCATTATTCTTCCCACTCAGGGAAATTAAACCAGTATGGGCAGAATGCCCTGATGCAGATGTTCATACCGTCAGAGTTCATACTTGACATGCATAATTGAGTAATCAAATTCCTCAAAGAGCTGATAAAATGACAGATCTCCCTTTCTGAATACTCGTAACCAACCTCAAAATAAAAATAACACTTAATCCATTCCAAACCTAGTAGCTTGCCCGCCCAAAAGTTTTTGGGTATACTTCTTTTCTAAAATCCTACTTTTCTATGAAAAACTCCTTTCTTTATCATTTCCTTATGTTTATGGCTTTGATTCACATTTGGAGGATGGGTCTTTAACCTCAGAAAACTGGATCCAAAGAACCGACTATTTCGCACAATGCAGCGTGATGGTTAAGGGCTCAGATAACAGATTCTGGTGTGAGGACCCTGTTGGAGATGATGTCTCTGTTTTGTCTCTTTCTCCAAATCTCTTAATTATGGAAGAATTCATAAAAATAATAAATATATAAAATTATAAAATGAAAGAAAAGATATTAAAACTTGTAAAAGAGAAATACAAAAGAATCTAAGAGACTACCATGAACAATTATATGCAAGCAAATTGGATAATCTGGAAAAAATGGATAATTCCTAGAAACATATAACCTACCAAGAGTGAATCATGAAGAAAAAGAAAATCCAAACAGACCAATAATGAGTATGGAGACTGAAGTAGAAGTTAAAATTTTCAAACCCATCTTGGGAAGCCAGCATTACTCTGATATCAAAGCCAAACAAGGATAATAGAAGAAAATAAAGGGCCAGTATCCATGATGAACACAGATGTAAAAGTCCTCAACAGAATACTAAAAAACTGAATTAGAGAGAACATTAAATGGATCATAAACCATGATCAAGAGGTGCTTTTTGTTCTTATTCTCTCTTGTCAGTCTAAAAGGGTCGCTCCAATGTTTAGCACAGCAACAGCCTATGTTTCCATAGCAACCAGTCCACTCAAAGGTCTGAATCTCAGCCTAGGGGCCTCCTCTGGAGTTTCCAAGTTTCTTCTTACTTCCCCCTATGCCCTAGGAAAAGTAGCTCCTTTCTGTTGTTACTATCTCTGTATACCTCAGAGAGCTCTTTATCTCTTTTAGTAGCTAGTATTATATATTATATAATATTATAATAGTATCTTTCACTTAGTAGACAGGGACTTAATTCATAATTATTAATATTTTTCTTTTTCAAATTATTGATGTGTTAGTTTTTATCCTCTGACAGAACCCTGACTAACACAGTCAATAAAAATGGAATCCTCAGGCAGGGTAGTGAGTGATGCAGGGTAGGGATACAGCAGTGACCAACATTGGGAGTGTCCCAGGTTTGCATCCAGGGACCTAGCTGATGCTCTGGGCATGCACACACTCATAGTCTAGAGCTGGCTGGAGCCAGAGGTGGATCACAGTATTGGGGCCCTATTTGGGGTGCTGTCTATCTCTGTCTCTCTCTCTCATGGAAAAAGTAAATAAACAGATTTTAAATAATATTTTAAGATATCAAATCTTCAAAATTCTATAAAAATAAACATTTGGGATCAACTAAACTGTCAGAAATTACAAACATCATTGCTAAAGTAAAATTATCAGTAGATGGTTAGAAGATTAAGTTGAGAAAGTCTACCAGAAAATAGAACAACCAGTTAGAATGGAAATACAAAAGGAGGGATTGAAAATATGAAAGGGGGGAAGAATGGGGACCAGCAGTTGGTGAAATGGCACGTCACTGGACTCCCATATAGTCGACCGTGATTTGAGTCCTGGACCTGGCGGCTTAAACTCACACTGAGCACGTGTGTGTGTGTGCCCAAGATCCCAAGAGGAGAATGGAGAAGGGATTGCGACGTGACCATCCCCTCTGGGGGGTGATTTCTCACTTTCTGTCTCTCTGTTTCTCTGGCCAATGCACATGCCCTATAGCAAAAACTTCTCCGAAAGAAAGAAAGAGGGGGAGAATGAAAGGAAGTATATAAGTTTGTCAAAATTTCCATCTTATAAAGTGGAATTTCAAGTGATATTATACTAGTTGATAAAAAAAGGGTAAATATATTATTTAAACTTACAAAGATGACCAAGAAAAAAATTAAAAGTAATACTTGTTCAGGATTTTAAATATATTTACCTCTTTATCCTGATCTTAATTTTTAAGAGTAGACTATTATATCCATTTTCCAAATGAGAAAAAAGGCTCAAAGAGTTTGCATAACTCATCTAAGTTCACACAATTGATAAATGGTGGAAGTGGGATTCCAGTGTCAATGCTCTTATTTATCATACTCCATTGCCCTTTTGTATGACTTTTCTGGAAGATGTACATAGGGAAGGTCGAAGGTCATGCAAATGAGTTAAATTGTTTTCTCTCTCAGCAACAGAGCAATATTTAAAATTGATTAATCAAGAAATAGTGACATGAGTCAGAAGTAATCACTAGAAAAAACAAAACCAGAAACTGTTTAAAGGGGTTTGTGCTCAGGAGCTAGACTTTGTAAGGAAGAGGTCAATCTGGAATTTGTCAGTTTCCCTTTCAAGCCCTTCTGTATTGACATGTACTTTTTTTCCCTTTCTCTTTAAGCTCATTTATTCATTTTTCTCATCAGAGAGAGAAAGAGAAAGAGGCACCCCTGACAGGGCCCTCCCATGCCACAATCCTCCCTCAACCTCCTTCTAGTCAGCCAGGATCACAGGCATGCATAGTATATCCAAACCTAGGCCTCCTTTGTGGCCCCAGCACTGGGCAGCAATGTCTTACTACTTGTGACATTGTGGTTTGGTCTAACACATACTCTAATAATAATTTATTGTAGACATTTTAAAAGACATAATATTCACATTATAAATTATCTCAGGTAAGGAAGTAAATGGCATTATCAAGCTAAATTATACATTAAAGTTATGCTTTTTTAAATAATTATTTTAATTTTATTTATCAATATCATTATTATTTTTAATTTTACCAGAGTGAGATGGGGTTAGGAGGGGTTAAGCGAGAAAGCAAGCCATGAGGCCCAGAACTTTAATTACAGTCAGCCATGTAGGTATCCAGTGTCTTAACCACCATGCCAAATACTGGTCCCAAGTTATGCCTTTTTTCCCCTTTGTTTTACATTTAACATACTAATTATATATTAAAGGTTAATCTTAAATACAATAACAATGAAAGTTTTCTCTCACAGATGGCAGAGACATCTGACCTGAGTCTTTTAAAGAAGGAGGCTTGTGCCTTCTCACAACAGCAGTGGGAAGCCCTATTTTCATGCTTAAGTATATGAAGCTGATTTACAATCTAGTAAACAGGTAACATTTGAACAATCAGATGAAAATTTCTACTGCATTCATTCATCTAGAAACTGTTTTTTAGCCTTGGTGTCAAATATATCTCAACAATTATTATAATTCCAAACTAGTAGACTAAATGACAATAAATTAAGTAGTTTGGGTAACAAATTGGAGCATATTAAATGCCCTAAACCAGGATCTTTTAGACACAAGACATGACACACGTTGATATACTGCCACCTAGTGAGCACATGTTGAAATAAATTTTATTAGTATTATTACTTAACTCTTCTTAGTCTCTGCAATAGGTCCTGGTTTTCATGAGGCCTTCTGAGACCTAAGGAAAACATTTTCCAAATAAAAGAGTATTTGAATGCAGTCAATAAATCTACAGATTTATACCCTCTGGGAAGCTCAGTGAATTCTAATTTAACCGGTATCATTAAAACCATCAAGTTGTTTTTTTCTTTTTTCTTTTCTTTTTTCTTTTCTTTTTTGAGAGGTTTTTGCCATAGGGTGTGTGCGCTCTCCAGAAAGACAGAGAGAGACAGAAAGCAAGAAATCACACCACCACCACCACCACCACCACCACCCCCCTCCAGGGGGCATGGCCATGCCGCAATCCCTTTCTCCAGCATTCTCCTTTCCGGATCTTGGGCACGAACATACGCCCAGAGTGAGTTTAATCCACCGGGTACATGACTTGAATCATGGTCGACTACATTGGAGTCCAGCGACATAGCCATTACACCAACTGCTGGTCCCCAAAATTCTGAGAGGATGGAGGACAAGGAATTGCAGTGTGACCATTCCCCCTGGAGTGTGATTTCTCTCTTTACCTCTCTCTCCGGTGAGCATTTGCACCTTATGGCAAAAACATAAACACACACACACACCAAACTTAATTTTAGTATGGGCCTAAGTGTTCTTATGTTATGTTATGTTATGGGTCATAACCCATTAATTGGTACTCAGATTAATCTACTTATGGCCAGTGGGGGCTCTTTCAAGCTGTCTTTTTGTGTCCCTCTGATATATTTTGTCATTTTTGAGAACTTCCTTAATTTCTGGTACTATGAGATTTTCCAGGCTCATGCTGTACTGTCCTTGCTCCTACTCAGGAATCAACCTTTTCTTGAAGGGACGCTAGTTTCTTTAGTGGACAATGGTGCTTAGAAACCAAGATATGGACAGTATTTGCTCATTACTTCTAGCATACCATTTCTCTTCGACCCTTTTAGCAGAGAGAGCTGGGGGAAAATAACAGACAGACAGATATATACACACCTATAGGTAAATGGCAAACGTTCACACACACATACACATACACACACACACACACACACACACACGTGTTCACACTGATTTGTTTAATTCCATCCTTGCCACCTCTTCATGTGGAAAGAGCAAGAGAAAAAAGTTGTTCATTTCTTTTTTTTTTTAATGTTTATTTCTTCCTTCTATGCGAGAGACAGAATAGAGAGAGAGAGAGATGGGCACCTTTAACAGGGTTCTTGCATAACCATCCATCACCAGCCACTGTCATCCTGCTTCATAGGCACATATACATGCACTCTGTGCTTATAGGGAGGCCTTGGGATTAAAAACCCAGGTGAGTTCAGCATTGTAGAGCATTGTCTTACCGCTGTGCCACAGGTTTGTCCTGGTCATTTTTTTGTTTCCTTCCTATCACTTACTCCTGTCTCCAAACAATCACTAAGTCCTGAAATTTCTACCTCCTAAAAAACTCTTGTATTGTCACATTTCTCTTCATCTTCACTGCTCCTAACCTTGCCCATACCCACTTTGTTTCTTACAAAGCCTACAGCAACAGCATCTTAACTGGTATTCCTGGATTTATTGATAGATTTACTTTCTTCCCATACATTTTCTAGAGTTATCATACTGAAATTAAAATTGAACAATTTTACTCCTGCTTAAAACTGTTCAATAGTACCTCATTGACCTTGATACTGTCGGGATCTCTTCATATCTTATTTATCTTGTTTTTTTTTTTTGTTCCTCCCCAAACCCCTAGCCTCATTCTCCCCTAGCCTCATTCAGCCACGTGGAATTTATTTCAGATGCTGGATTATGCCAACTTTCTTTTAGTGAATGCTATAGTTGATCTTCCTCTATCCAGAAACCTTTTCCAACCTGTATAATTCTACACATTATTTAGATCTTTTCTTAAATGTTATTTCTGCTATGAAATAGTCCCTGACACCTGCTACTTAATGTCTGCAAGATACTGTAAAGGTTGAAGCAAGAGGTGTTGACAGGTATACATGTCAGCCAATCTGATAGACTGGGGGTGTGTTCTGAAAATAGTATCTAAGAATGAGCAGCTAGAGTTGTAACCTTTCTGTAAAAATGGGCATTTAAATGGCAGGTGTGAGCACACATGGAAAATATATAAAACAACTATAATGCATAACTCCAAGAAGGAATGTAATATACACCATCCTATTACTCATTTTTCAACAATTGAAGTACCAACTATCAGTATTGTGGTAGGTCCTGGGTATAGAGAAATTAAAATATAACTCAAACGATGAAGATATATAGAATGAATATCAAACCTCTAATAGGATATAGCAGGAATTATTTTGAGGAGTTTAGTCAACCTCCTTAAGATTCAAAGGATAAGGAACATTCGGGCTGAGATATGTGCGAGTGTATAGGGGAGATTTTCCAGGAGAGGGAACAATAAGACCAAGAACTGGGGCAGGAAGCGGTACAGATTGCTTTGCATGGCACACAAAATTCAATATTGCACAAAACTGCACTGCACACATAATTCAACAGTGTATAAAATCGATACAAGGAGATAACGAGAAAGAAAGCTAATCAGGGATATGGAGCCTCTTGTATTCTTGGCAAAATGATTAGATTTTCTCCTATAGATAGCTTTTGAAGAACTTTCAGCA